TTTTCCTGCTTTTAGTGGTCGAATTCAACTTCGAAGTATGTTTTCTTTCTATATTTGGTCATCTTGCATATAGAGAATCACCATGTCTTTCTTATTTTTGTCTTGTAAAGAAGTATTATCTTTCCTAAAGTAGAGTTATATTTTTTTTCCTTTATTGCTATGCAAAGTCATTTGTTTTATTTTCACTAGGTAAAATCGTCATAGACCAAGAATATGGATGAAGCAGAGTTGAAAGTGTTACAAGAAGAGATCAAAGCTATGGGGGACGAAATTAGGTCTTTGAAAACGGAAAAAGCCGATCCAGCGTTGGTTCGTTTCATGTACAACTCGCGTGGAAAATAAATACCTTCTGCCATGCGGTGTTCATATGTGTTTTGTCTTTATATCTGGAAAATCATACTTGATTCTGTAATTTGACTTTTTTTTTTGATTGCATCATTCTAGATATCAGCGTTCCACTCGAATTTTCTCTATGTTATTAAAAGTTTGTCGCGTTTATGGCTTCAAAAGCAATTGCATGATGCGATCTCACATAACATATTTTTTATAGCGGTGCTGACCTCCAAAGATGATCTCTTCGCGTTTTCTACGACAAAGCCTTTATTACTGTACTGTAAAGAAGCCTATCATATATACACACCGCAGTGGCAGAAGGGTGCGCGAGCTTTCTTTTGAAGATTTGAACTATGTTTATGCCTTGAAAATCTGTTAAATTAATTTCATATTGTTCTAGAGTATATGTAATTTATGTTCAGATCAAAGCAAAAATAGCTGCAATGTTAGAAAAGAAGAAACTTCTCGGTGATGGTCAAGCAGATCAGGGAAAATTTGTGCTCAAAACTCCTAAAGGTAAACCTCTTACTTCAGTCGCTTTTCGTCATGGTTTTCTCTCATTTTACTTTGTAAGGTCTCAGGCATAGTTCACGCGATTTGAGTCCTGACGCGATTTGGCAGTGTTCCAATTGTTCATAACTCATCGCTAGGGGTTTCTGAATTTATGGAGGATAGGACATTCTATAAACTTACCAAAGTTATGCATGCTGTGCGTTTGGGATCTGCCAATATCGAATTTGAAGAGATCTGGCAAATTGCCAGATCGCGC